AAATCTGATGTGAACTTTGACACAATATTTTGACATATGAATTACATAAATAACATGTAAGTGTATGAATTGCTGATTCATAAATTGATGTGATGTGTAAAATTATTGTACTTATGTCAAAATTGTGGATTAATTCTGACTTCTGAACATTTACCAATCGAATGTTATGCTATATTTTTACAAAATTGCATTTGGTCTCATATTTTTTTTTCGAAACGATAAATATTATAACAAAAATATATAATTACAGCTAGAAATCAATTAGAATAAGTCAATCAGCCGACTAACCGAATCTAGGGAGGCCTACACAAGGTAGGCATTAGAACAACTACCTACAACACAAACTAAACAAAACTAAACTAAACACTGAGAGAGAATCAAGCTTCAACAAGAAGAATATAACAATCCAACCCACAAGGATAAAAAAAGGAAAAACATACAAACAAACATTAAACACCACAAAACTAGAAAAAGGAAAAAAACACACAACAAACAAAAAACACCACAATACTAGAATAAAGTCCTCTTCCAACCGCAAACAAACAGACACGCAAAAAACGACTCGACACCTGGAGACGACCCGTCAAAGGAAAGAAACCCAACCCAAAAAAAAGAACCCAAAAACTCCGGCAATCGGCTAGCTGGACCCTTCACCGAACCAAACTCCTTACCCGACCGGGCCACCCCCAGAACAGCAACCAGAGCACCTCCCTCTTACCCCGTAGACCCAAGCCACCCTCGGCTCGGCACCCACACCCGCAGCCTCACCAACCAAATTCCACAACTCATGCACAGGCCGCGTACTGAAAACTGGAGAAGAGAGCCACACCCCACCCCGACCAACTCAACGGAGAAGGCCAGGGTCAGTCGAGCTCCCATGCCACGACTTTGTCAACACCTCCACCATCGAGTAGACAACCTGAGAGCTCGGCGAGACCCTACAGCAGAGAGGGATAGCCGGCGCTTGACATGGATAGCCGTTCGGCCCGATCGGCGCCGCAGCGCCGCTGAAGGCGCGATAGGAGGAGGCGGAGATGGAAGACTTAGGGTTTTTGCTGGATTTGAGGAAAAGGAAAAATGAGAGAGAGAGAGAGAGAGAGAGAGAGAGAGAGAGATTTTAACACTTTTCATTTGGTCTCGTATAAATGTTGATTATCTTTTTTTTTCTTTTTTTGCCAAACATCAAATTGTATTACCACACATCGGAAGTACAAACTGGCAATCAAAGGATTACACTTGACAACCTTTACTAGCCTAGATTAGAAAGGAAACCAAACGGAGGAAAACACAAGTGTTCCCCTACACGACCCTTCACGGCTAAAAAGACAAACCTCACGAAACACTCACACCTATGAGACTAAAAAAACTCCACAAGAGAGACGAAAATACTCCTACAGAAAGGAGACGACAAAAAACGCACTCTGAAAAGAAGAGAGAAACCGAAAACACAAAAAACACTAACCAAAACAAACATAAAATAAGATGAAAGCCCTCTTCACAACGGTCAGACCTCACCTAGCAACCTCAAGCAAGCCAACACCCAAATGACTACCCAATAGGAACCAAATCCGGCCAAAATCCTAGAAACTCTGCGACCGACTATCAAGATTCGGACCTAAGACAAAGCCCTAACCAGGAGGTCACCGTCGGACTAGCACCAGTGAAACCGCGCCCAGCCCCCCCGACCTGCCGGCGACAACTCGCGGTCGCAACTCCTATTAGCCCAACACCAAGTCCGAAATAGGGGCGGAGAGGCAGAGCCGCAGAGCAACAAGCAGCCAGACGATCAAACGCCCACCGCCGCCACAGAGCCGCCCGACGACCACAAAAAATGCATCCGCCATGGCCCTCCTTAGAGAAAGAAGGGGGAACCCACGTGAGGAAGAGAGCGGCGACCCTCGGATCGACGATTGATGCCGATACCGCCACAAAAATTGGCTCCCGCATGAGAAAATGGAGGCGCCGCTGTGGAGAGGCGACGGAAATTAGGTTTTCAACATCAAAATATTGATTATCAAGAATGCAAAAATGGTCCTTTTATTTTTATTGGAATTTTAATTCCATGGCTATTATAGTTTAATGAAAAAATTATTGGTAAGGCAGCTGTAATAAAAAATTCAACGAAATTATTTGAAAACTACTCAAAGAAGCTTATGAAATAAGTTCGAGCTTTAAAAAAAAAAAAAAAAACTTTTCCTACCAAATCAAACTTATTTATATACAAAAAACTAATAAGCTAAACAAATAAGCTATAAGCTAGCTTACTCATTTACCAAACACTCTTAATATGACAGCTAGCGATTAACGTGAAAAATGAGAAATTTACATATTTTGTCATACGATATGCTAGTTGAAAATTCAGTTTTAACTTACAAAAAATTGGTGGTGAACATTTTTATTTTTTTGGTTGTTGCAAGATTATTCAAATACGAACAAATTTTACAAACATACTATATTCTCTGATTACTTAACTATCACTAATATAATTTTCTTGATATGGTAGGTTTACTTGTGTATATAGAAGGTTGGCTCCACTATGGAGTCAATTGTTGGCTTCATAGCAAAACTATTGCACATTATTTTCGTTTTAAGTTATTACTATCTTTAAAGTTAAAAAACAAAGCCTAAGTTTTTTTTTAAAAAAAAAAAAAATTATCACCCCGATTTATGCTTAGTAATAATATTGCCGACAACTAAGGTTCCAAAAGGCGACAGACGCTTGCTAGGGGCTAGGGCTTAGCACCTAGAGAGCCTAGACGGGGTCGTAAAAATACTAATAGCTTAATTTAAGTTTAAAATCATGTGTAACTTACAACTATATTTTATATACTATGATGAATAGTATGTTAAATTAAAAGGTTTTTATAATATTATAAACCTGCAATTATTAATTTAATTTTATATAATTAAACTTTTTATAATTATTTTACATTTCATGCCTAAAAAAGCAATATTTATTATTATTATTATTATTATTATTATTATTATTAATTATTATTATATTTGAAAATAAAAATTAAAAAATCAGACTGGCCCTCCTAGACCGCCTAATCAGTCTAGCTGCCGCTTAGTCCGTTTAGGCAACACCTAATTGCCCGAGTGTCTAGAAAGACCGCCTAGACGAAAATCAGGGAGTCGAGTGCCAACGCTTAGGCACCTTAATATGGACGAAGGTCGACTCCTCAAGAATGCGTACAATTGGGCCCAGTGTGCTCGTAAGAAGGAGATAGGGCAATCAACCGCATGCACGCAACCAACCGCAAGCGCTCGAGATCGGTGGCCCACTGCAACGCACACCCGGGGCGCTGCCGCAACAGAAGGTCGGCGCACAGTAGGCATTTTTTTTTTCTCCATGATTAGATTGTTAGAAACAAAGACATTTAAATCCAATTGTAAGTTTCCAATTCATTTTATTATTGTTGATTGGTTTATGTTCTTCAATTTGATTAACATGGTATTGAATGCAAGAATTAGGTAATTCATTCACCTAGGGTTTGAGATTTTGATTCTTGTCTGAATTGTGTCGAATATGTTTTGTTGAATCTATGGGAGTTGCTTAATTTTTACGATTAGTTGATTGTTAACTTGCTAGGCAAACAATTTTTGGAACCAAGAGAAGAGTCGTTGAACTTAAGCTCGTATGAGGTGAATGAATTTTTCTAATAGATTAAGAAATGAAGATTTTGAAGATCTCCAATCATAGAAGCATATCTAACTTGGAAAGAAATTGACTCCATATGGAAGGACATTGAAGACATGAAGACGTCTTACCTAGTTGGAGGCTTTATATATGTCATCACGAAGATGACTTCAATTACGATTATTATTAAGTTTATTATTCAAGATGTTCTCTGAGAGTTCGTGAGCTTTCTTTTATATTTTCATACAATAGTTATTCAGTATTCAGTTTCCGTTCTTGCAAATTTGAAGAACAATAACTCTTTATCTTCTTAATTCTTGAATATTTAGGGATTGCGTACCATCATCGGCTTGGAGAGATTCAAAATAGTGTTTTTCAATTCACGTTGTGGCCCGAAAAGTATTTAGTAGATTTGAGTATAGTGTTTGTAGGTTTAGGGGGAGTTTTTAACTTGTAATCCCAAACTACACATCGTGTTTGCGATATATTTAATTATGAAAGAGCTCTGAGGAGTAGTGAGATGGTCTCTTAAGACTAATTTGTTTAAATTATCACTTCCGCTTTTAATTTTCTATGTTTTTACACATTTGTGTATTTTACATACTACCCCAAAACTTATCAACAACAAATAGATACGTAAAATAAATGACGAGAAAAAAGAAAAAAAAAAACCACACACACCAAATTCGTAACGGAGTTCGATTGTTATTTTCTATATCTCCAGGCACCTCCAACCGCAATGTCAACTTTGTTAATCTCACTAACAAAATACAAGTATGATTAAACATGCCACAAATTAGTATATCCATAATTAAATTTTTTTTCTAAGAGAAAAGATAATAAGATATAATTACAACTCAAATACGAAAAAAAAAAATAAAATAAAAAAATGTCTATACTAAACAATCCTAACAATTTTAGTTACAAATTCAAACGTGGAATAAAACATAAGTCAAAATCTAACAACATTAACAACAATATTGACATGGAATCACACAAGTTTCATATAATTTCCAACTCTTTATTTCAATCAAATAAATTTATTTTCCTAAGATTTCAGATAGAACAATATGTTTTATCTTATGTAAAATTTTATTCAATTAGGCAATAAATAATAAATATGTAAAATTTTGTTCAATTTGGCAATAAATAATAATTTAATATTATGCACTTACTATTGTTCCTAGTCAAAGTTGCATGAAATAATGACACTTCTTATCTATTTGCTCATAAAGTTTATATAACTACTTCCTCTTATTATTTAGATGCAATTACCTTTTCTGTTTTCAAATTATACTCTTTTTGTAGATTCTTTTAGATTTTAAAAAATCTGTATTTTTTAATAACCGTGAAACGGTTTATCATCCCCCTTATATCTATCCTTCTTTCCCGTAACCTACCTACCCTTTTTTCTTCTTATCTATTTGCTCATAGATTTTATATAACTACTCCCTCTTATTATTTAGATGCAATTACCTTTTCTGTTTTCAATTATACTCTTTTTGTAGATTCTTTTAGATTTTAAAAAATCTGTATTTTTTAATAATCGTGAAACGGTTTATCATCCCCCTTATATCTATCCTTCTTTCTCGTAACCTACCTACCCTTTTTTTCCTTCTCTCCAAAAATAAAGACAAATTTGATTCTCCTTATATCATCCTTATATCTCCCCTTCCGTCGGATGCGCCGGTTGCAGAGGATAAGGCTGGATGATGGAGCCTAAAACAATGACAAATTTGATTCTCGTCGACGGGAGGCTGGAGGATGTGGCGGGCAGTGGTGGCGTAGGCGTGCCCCAGCCGCGGGTGTGACGACCTAGTGCAGAGACTTCCGATTTCTGATTTTTGGAAGAAAGGTAAGGATTCGAGTTCGATTAATATTACTTCAAGTTTCGATTTAAATTTCGTAGAGCCGAACCCTTTCTAATCTCAGAGACTTACCTTGAGTCCAACCTTAATTTTCGAGCCGATTGAACCCCGTGTTTTGTCGATTTCTGAAGAAACTCAAGATTTCCTTGTTGATTAGTTTTTTAAGTATGATTTTTCGTATGTGTTCATTTTATTGGATTCTTAGTCTGAGACGAATTGTTTGTTTTATGGGAATATGTTGGTAATTTTATTTATGGAGATTAAACTTGTTTGAAAAATATAATATTGCTACGAAATTTTCAAATATTTCCAGGATCCTTCATTATTGAGTTATAAGATTTATGTTATTTTCTATTTTTTTTTTTTTATGATGACTGGCTGTGCTGCAGAAAAATTTAAGTTATTTTCATGTTTTTGTCATGTTTCTTTAAAGTTTTTTTTCATGTTGCTTTTTCAATGTTATGTTATATTCATGTTGCTTTTTTAATTTGAGTTTTTTTTTTTAATATAATCCACATATATATATATACTTTTTTTTTTCTTTTTTCTTTTTTTTCTTTTTATATATAATCC